CCAGAGTCAGATTGGGACTGCCGAGGCACCCAGCCACAAGGCCCAAGCAGCTACCAGGTTCCCAGCCTCTCAGGTGCGATTCAGTGTTATCACTATTTTAATGTAAACTGATTTAATACAATCTTTGATATATATAAATTAATCCCATAGGGTCTGTTCCTCCAGAGAACCCTGATTCATACATAACTCAAGCTGGCTTCATGTCATGATGTAGCCAAGGGTGGCTTTGAACTCCTGATCCCCCTGCCTCTACCTTCCAAATGCTGGGATCCCAGTTGTGTACCACCATGCCTGGCTTGGGTCCCTCATTTTGAGGTCAGTGGTACTGGGCTTAGAGGCTCACATGTGTGGTACCAGGCCTAGCCCGGCTTCCCCTCCATGCTGACTAGGAGCCCTTGGGCTACTCAGGTCCCTCCCGAGTCTCCGTGTCCTCATGTGCAATATTGATTACAGTCTGTGAACTCAGCAAGGGCAAAGGACCCTGCCCCGTTACTTCTCTTCCCCTACAGCACTGGTTCAGAGAGCTTGTCTCAGCACAGTGGCAAACACTCCACCTCATCCTTGGCACACACACACACACACACACACACACACACACACACACACACACACCGCCCCCGGCCCACCCCAGGCTCATCTGCAGCTTTAGGAAGACAGACTTAAGTGGAGCTGGATCACCAGGGCAGGGCTGTGTGAGGACATGCCTCCTGCTCCCAATTACCCATGCTGCAGCGCCCATCCAGCCCTGGTCTAGCCCAGCATCTCTTTGATCTCTTCCTGGACAGCGTTTGTAAGGGACAGCAGCCCTTTGTAGGGCGATTATTTCCTTTTGAGGGACACACTGGCTCCCTGGCGTTGTATCAGAGAGAAGACCAGTGGCCTTCTTGGGTCCTACTGATCTCCCTTTTTTTCTTCTTCACCCAGTCCCTGGCCTAGAAGTTTCCTTAACTCCCTTACTTTTGGCCAAGACACCAGTCTATACCCAGAATCCCCCAAGGGCTTAAGCTTGTGGAAAACGGGGCCAAAGGCACTTTGTAGACTGTTTCCACTTTCTCCTCCCCACAGACCTCTCTGCCTGTTTCAACAGAAGGAGGCAGGGCAAAGGCCAGGAAGGGAGAGGTAACCATGTCACCATGGGCTCAGCCAGGCTGAGGATCCCTAAGCCCCTGTCCCTTGGTCGTCAGGAATCCTGCACAGGGCTCATCAGCTTGCAGACTGTCCCAGCCGTCCTGCAAAGACGGCAGCGTGGGAGTGGGGAGGGAGGCACACACGGGCACGGCAATCCGATTGTTCCGGCAATGTGTGCAAAGCTGCCCAGCTGCCATGGCATCCCAGGTCCTCGAGAAGCCAGGCTCAGGTGGGTAATGACAGCGTTCTGCATGTGGGCCTCCTCTTGCCTCACGGTCCATTGGCCACCAGTCCCCGAGGACAAAGGGGCAGACGTGACCACAGAGAGCCTTGAACGGCCTGTGAACACAGCGGAAATAGCCTTCCAGGATCAGCCTTCCAGTGAGACAGCTCAACTTTATTCCAGAGTATCAGGGATATATAGGATTGGGGTGGTGGCTGGGGGAAACCCTAATTTGCATCAGGTGGCATGCTCCTATCCCATAGCTGGATGGGTGGCAGCACAGCTCTGTGAAGCTGCAGCGTGTTACTTAATTACCATATGGGTAGCAGGGGAAGAGCGTTTGCAGGGAACTGTGTCAAGGGTAAGTCAGGCATCCGGGCCTAGAGACATCTTCCAGATAAGGCTAGGTAGAGAGCAGGAAGGCCCCCCCCCCCCCCGCGCTTGTGTGTGTGTGTGTGGGGGGGGGTCCTCCATATTGCTGTTAAGCTACGGTAGACTGCCACTTCTGACCAGTGGGGCCTCCCAACATCTGCACGCCCAGGTAAGGGCCCCCAGGTACCTGGATGGTCTGATTGCATCATACTGAAACTCCATTCTAACTTTAATGTAGTAAAAGTCACAAGTCATGGCAGACACAGGTACTTAGCTCTAGTATTCAGTCAGGTCCTGGTGTCATGATTGTTACTATTCTGACCCGCCCCCTTGAAATCCCACCCCTTGGGGCCACCCTGCAGCCTGACATAAAAGTCTCATTTTAAGGAAAAACTCTGCCCCTTCCTCTCTCTCTCTTCTGCTTTTCTCCCACGAGATATGCACCCTCGAAGCCCCCCCTCTCTTCCTCTCTCTCCTTTCTATCTTTCTCTCTATCTAATAAACTCTTTCCATGCAAATGCAACATCTGGGTTGTGAATTACTAGCCGCTGCCACCGCCATGCACGCATGGTGTGCATCTGCCCAGCCCGCCACTGCATCTGCCCAGCATTCCAGCAAGTTTTCCTCCACAAGTAGGCCCTGGCCTGGCCGGCCTTGGGTTCCCCGCGTGCATAGCATAATTCATAACAAGGATGAGCTCGCCTGCTTTGTTAAACTGCTCTATGCCTTGGGGTCAAGGAATGCCTGCCTCACAAGGGCACAGCGCAGGTTAATGATGGGACAACGATCAGTCTGTGGACATGTTTTGGTCAGCTATGTCCTGTGTCACAATGTAGGAGGGCAAGAGCAAGGCGTCCCTGCCAGAGCCCACTGCCCATGCCCCCTCCCCCCGGGGGGGGGGGGGCTCACACCTGCCGGAGCAGCAATCCTAGAGGCCTCCCAAGAGTTCCTGCATGGCAGGTGCCTTCCAGTTCTCTGTGTACACGTGCTCCAGGGTTTTAACCTCTCCAGGGACAGGAGCTGTGCCAGACCCATGGCTCAGACACTGCACAGCTAGTCCATAAGTCCAAGGTCACACACCAACGAGAGCAGATACATCGTCAGGACCAATGCACCTGCTCTGCCTCTTGTGTGTGGCTGTGCTGCCGGGGCACACGCAGGGGTCTAAACCCACCTCAGAAGCCCCAGGGCAGGGGTCACGTGGTGTTTTCTATTCTTGTAAGTCTATCTTACTATCAATTGTCAAGACACTATGCACATGCATGTGTGGGTATACGTGTGTGTGTGTGTGTGTGTGTGTGTGTGTACCTACATGTGGGTGTGTGGATGTGCTAGCTTGTGTGCAGAGGTCACAGCAGGGGGTCATGTGTCTTCCTCTATCGCTCTCTACATCACTGCCTTGAAGCGAGGTCTCTTCCTGCACCATAAACTCACCTATTGGGCTAGGCTGGCTGGCCAGCAAGGTCTCTGGCTCCATCAGTCTCCATCTGACAATGCTGGAGTCACAGGCGCAAGTAGCCATGCCCTACTTCTTACACAGATGCTGGAGATTTGAACTCGGGTCCTTGGATTTGCAGAGCAAAGCTCTTCCTCGCTAGACCACATACTTGTCAATATTGCAAAGAAATCTTCACACTTGAGGCTGTAAGGAGCCACTGGCCTGATTTCAGATTTTCCTCCTTAAGTAGATGTGACAAGAGTGTCCCTCTGCCCATCACCATTCCTGTCCCAATATGCCTAGACCCCAAATTCTATCAGGGTTTCTCCTGTGTGGCTTTTAAGGCTAGGGCACTGATTCCTCCATACCTGGTCCTCTGCTGTGGAGTCCTGATGAGTGCCCATCTGTCCTCCACCATCTAGTCAGCTCCAAGAGGCAAACTTGACTAGGCCATCGTTTTGTGGCTCTTTGTCCCTGCGGCCATGGTTCTGAGCCTCCCGGGATAGGTGCGATGCTCCAGAAGCCCACCCTGCATGCGCTCACTCAGACACATCTGTGGAGTTTGCTTGTGAGGTGCTGGGGTGGAACCCAGGCCTCACATGTGCTAGAAAAGCTGGCTTCACTCACCCCAGACCTCTGTTTCAGAGGCCATCAGAATGCATGGCTGTGATTTGTCTCCTTGGCTGTGAGTCTTAGACCACAGAATGCAGTCTGAGCTCC